AGAGAGAGAGAGAGAGAGAGAGAGAGAGAGAGAGAGAGAGAGAGAGAGAGTACCCGGTTAGGGTAAATTGTCTCCTGGTAGATTTTCTTCTTATTTTGGACGCTCTTTTTCGTTTCGTTTCGTTTTTCAGGTTTAATATTGGTTGTACTGCTTTGGTGATTAGAATGGAGCTCCGTCCCATCTGCTCCTCCCAAGTTCGCTGCAGGCTGCCCCTGATAACCAAGAGCAGGATAATTCTCCCAAGTTTTCTGCAGACTGTCCCTGATAACCAAGAGCAGGATAATCCCACAGCGCTTCCGTATCAAAGACCGAGGGGCAACGCCCCTGATCGGTTTCAACAGGTATGTTGCCGCGCCTGGATTTCACCAGTCAATCACCCACACATCAACGCCCTTCCCTCCACAATGACCCTGACGCAAAAGTTGTTCAGTTTATTTTTCTGCATCGCATAGTTTGCTTTCGGATTTTTTGGATTTTTTTTAATTATTTTTTTTTCTTTTCTTTCGGCTGGGCCCTGCTGTGGTCCTTGCACGGCTGGGCTCCCCGGTCAAACAAGGTGACCCCGGGGGCCTGGCTGGTAGCCCAGTTTTTTGGAGCCATTTCTCGATTTATGAGTGTTGTCCTTGTGGAGGGGCCATGCTAATCTTCTCTGTATCGTTTCCAATTTTAACGGATGTCCCGAAGGACGTGCCACCACCAACCTTTTTCCTGAGCCCTTCCATTTCCACTTCTGCAGAGTCTCGAGCTCGTACACCTGCCGTTTCTGCGTGCCTGAGCTGTTCTCTGTGCTCCTCATGAAATCCTTCCAGCACAGCGAGCCTCTTGCTTAATTTCGTTACTTCATTGAAGGCCAGGAGCTTCGCCTGTTCCTCTGCCTGCACACGCTGACATCAGTATCCTGCCACTGTGGCATGCATTTCCTCCCTCTCCCCCCCTTTCCCCCCCCCCTTCCCTTTTTTCCAAAGGGATTAGCTGTCCCCGAATGTCATTGTACCTAAGCAAGATTCTGTGGAGAATTCAGCTGTTGATCTGTTTATCGCCGGTTTCATAATGTTGTGCAACACTTAGCCACTACAGGACTCCAGAGCATGAACGCCCCGTCAGAGTGCGTTTTTTTTTTTTTTTTTTTTTTTTTTTTTTTGGGCGGGGGGGGGGGGGGGGGGGTTGGGTCAGTGAAGTTCTTATTAAACCACCAGTACCCCAGAGGGTCTTAGGGCCCCTCTGGGGTGGCTCTGACGCAAATGCACATGGACCCACATGGCGCACGGATTCGGCCACCTCGTTAATGGCCTCCTTTTTTTTAGGAGAGGCTCAATCTCCTTTTTCTAATGTACTGAGGGGATCTTCCCACATGCATATGCACACACAAAGGTGAATAAAGTTCAATAAACCCAGTTCATGGATTAATTTAAAAAAAAAAAAAACAAGATTTTTTGGGGGAAAATTTTTCAAAAAAGGAAAAAGGGGGCATAATGTAGTAGTCTACTTGGTAACCCGTTATTATCTGTGAAAATGACAAAATTGTGAAGGGGTAACTAGGGCGCAGTCATGATTCCAGTTTAAAAGCCAGTTCAGGTATCCCTCGAATACAAGACATCCCCACCCAACCGTAAAGCTGGGTTGTATACATTCACGATTTTCCTTGGTTTGACACAACATTCCCCAAATCGTGACTGAAACGCATTTTCAAACTGAGACTGTGACAGCACCCTAGTTTTCCCAATTTTTACATTTGGGCAAAAAAGAAGAGAGAAAAAAGGCGACGAAACAACCAGTGCTGTCAGGTCAGCAGCCTAGCTCAGTCGGTAAGGCACTCAAGTGGCATTCAGGAGGTTATGGGTTCAATGATTCAATCCCTATTGACCTCATGTACCTACCTTGGCATACTTGGTGCCCTCCATCTAGAGATAGACCGTTGCCCTCCCCCTATTGGCATGAAGCGGGTACTCCTGATGTTTGTAGGGGGAGGGGACCAGAGGTGAGGCTAGGGGGAGGGGACCAGAGGTGAGGCACAGCGACTGGCCACTCAGATGAAGCTCGGTCCTGTCGCTACTGGCTAAGCCTTGGCTGGTATCGCCCCCCTGATATAGCAGGTATTGCACCTGCTGGTGGGTGCAGCTCCCTCATGTTCCCTGGTTGGAGGCTTGAACACTGATGCGGCTGCAACTGGGTTCCCTGTAATAATACCATAATGATAATAAAAACGGCCTGAATGGCCGTCCTGTCCAGGTTCGACACGCAATTGAAATGGTTGGGCTTATACCACCAGTAATTGGCCCGTACACCGGCCATGGGCCCTTGTCGTATACGCGCTGCAACTTTCGGGGCTCGGGGGCTCGTTAGACACTCCTCGGGTGTGTAAATCCCCCGAGGAAAATTTCGGGGCTCGGGGGCTCGTTAGACACTCCTCGCGCTCCACCTATCCTTGGGGATGAAAACGAAAACATAATGTGAAAACATTTACTTGGGGAATCCTCGGGGCGTCCTCGGGCTACAACCATTTGGTGGCATTCCCCAAGGGACCTCCCAAGGTCTCTTGGAGGTCAAGGATCCGCGATAATCGGAGCAGCGAGGACACCCGTCGTGGGCAATAATTTTTTGTCGGCTGGTCCATTGGAGTTCCTACCCGGCAGAGCACGGACATCCTGGGTCTTCAACGTTCGGCTTCCAGGAATCTTACACCAACAGTAACCGTTGGTGGCCGGCCAGCCCCCGCGGACATCGTCGACCAGTGTTCTCTTTTTCTTTTTTTCTTTTTTTTTCTTTTTCTTTTTTTAAACACACACACCCCTGTAGTGCTAGTGGTGCTGAGCGGGCCAGACACCACTAGCACCCAGAGGGAGGCTCCTGTCTATTGGTGGGGAGCATCACCTGCTGGAAAACGGGTCCAGCGTCCCTTTACAGATTGCAGAATGAATATAAGTTGGATCAACGTTGAATCCAGAGAAGTTAAGTGGTCTTGAACCTGCCAGCATTGATTGCTCTGGATACCAGAGGATTGACTGTGCGACTGTCTCGCTAGCTAATAAAACTATGAAGACTGCAGGGCAAGTCTGCCTGCTGAGAGAAGAGTAAAAAAGGTTGAAAAACCGACTATACTCCTAGTCCAATTGTCGTAAACTAAGCCTACCTGAGAGTATCAAACAAATCTCCTCATAAGGTCCGCGGTCAGTTTCCAGACCGGGCCCTTTTTCCCTGCAAATTTTTCCAGGACACTCAGAAACAATTCAACCGGGAAAGCTTTCTTCTGGAACGCCAATTTTAGCAGCATAACCTGGCCTGGTACTTTGTGCCGAATAGAGGAGTTCCGGTCGATGCTGTATAGCCAACCGGCGATAGCGGCGGCTTTTTGGCTCCGGCTGGACCAGGACATAAAGTCCTGACACGCCCGGATTGTCAATTCCTGACCCAGCTTCAGGTCCTCATTTTGAACTCGTTGAAAGCAGCCAAGAAAAGGCTGTCTTTCCTGGATTTCCAAGGCGCAACCCAAGAATTCCCAACCCTGGATCCGTCATGTCCTTTTTAGGGACAGGGTCCGGGATGGGTAGCATCTTTCAAAACGCCTCCGTATCTTGGTGGCCTGGTATAACGATGAGCTGTCATTCGTCTTTTTTTTTTTCTTTTTTTTTTTTTGTTGTTGTTGTTGTTGTTCTCCCGCGCAGTGCATGCTGCCAAACAGAAAGGGGTCAAATGGTCGGCAAATTTGAATACTTCAGCCGACCCCCCTTGCTCCGATTACCCACTGTATTCTGTGACAAAAAACATTACAAGGCGTTTGTCCCATGCTGCGGTCTGCCGTTTGCAGCCCTCTTTGTCGCCGTTTGTTGGAGCTGTACCGTCGTCATTTAGCTACTGCCCTTCCCCACTTGCCTTTCATGGCCGACGTCTTTCGAAGCTGCCGTTGCTGCTCCTGGTCATTCTTTTGCTTGTCCTTGTCATCTTCTTCCACGTCTGCATCCTCGACAGGGTGCCTGGATGTACACATAAGAGGTGGTTTGCGAAGATGGACGTCAGCACGGACGGGCGGCAGGCGAAGAGCAGGTCTTAAGTGGACCACTCCAGAAGCCACCGCGCAGGCCACGGCCAGGCTCGCAGTGCAAGGGCCTACGACCCGTTAGAGTGCGTGTGTCGTATGCTGTCCTCTACCGTCTGCTCCCTTCATTGTCGCCGTTTGGTGGACCTTCACCGTCATCGTAGAATTATGGACCTGTTGTACGTGTTGTTGATGACCGACTTCTATTGAACATTGCCACTGCTGCTCCTAGTCACAAGTTTGCTTATCGTGGTCCTCCTGTTCCACGTGTGCTTCCTCTCTTGTTGATGGCTGACCTCTATCGAAGGCCTCCGACAGAGAAGACGAGGGATCGACACCGACTGCCGTCGACATCAACGAAAGAGCACGGCCGTCTTCTCGCTTGTCGCCAACTTCGCACGTCCGTCATCGCTGTCGTCCTCCATCGGCACGTGTGTTGCAATGCTCATGAACCACGAAAATACAACAGCCTACCAGCTCGCCACAACCACAGTAACCTCAGTGCCAAGTCCCCGACGACGTTCCCCGTGACTCGACACATAGGCATGGTGGCATGGAGAGGCGATGGCGATGGACCTTCCCGGGGCACTCACAAATTTGTGACGACGTACAAGGACTCCACTGCGCCGCTGCAAATGCCCGTTTCCACCGTCGCAGATATGGACGCCACCTGCCCCACGTCGCCGTCGTGACATCCAACACCCAATTTGAAATTTGATTTGCGAACGGGGAGGTCCATTGCTTTTCAAGTTTTTTTTTTTTTTTTTTTTTCCGGTCGCCAGCGCCTTTCAAAATTTCCTGCCTTCGGCAGCTGGACCACACCATAGCAAGACAGACATCCCCCAATGGACCAAGGCCTGTCTCTTATACACATCTAGATGTGTATAAGAGACAGA